GGGCAAATCTGCTGCAAAAGACCTCTTTCAAGTGCTGAAGAGCAAAGATGTCTCCTTGAAGACTAAGGTGCTCCTAACCCAAGCCATGGTATTTTCAGTTGCATGTGAGAGTTGGACAATGAATAAGGAAGACCGAAGAACAGTTGATACTTTTGAGTTGCAGTGTTGGAGAAGAATGCTAAGAGTACCATGGTCTGCTAAAAGGACTAACAAATCTGTCCTGGAAGGAGTGCAGCCAGAATGCTCCTTCAAATCAAGAATGGCCAGACTTCATGTCACCTGCTTTGGTTATGTTGTCAGAAAGGACCATTCACTGGAGAAGGATATCATGCTTGGTAAAGTGGAGAGTTAACGAAAAAGGGGAAGGCCTTTAACAAGGCGGATTGACACAGTGGCTGCAATGATGGGCTCAGGTATAGCAAGGATCCTGAGAGTGGCACAGGACTAGGCAATGTTTCATTCTTTTGTGCATAGGCTCGCTGTGAATCAGAGACAACTTGACAGCACCTAATAACAACCACAGAGCCTGGACATAGAGCCTTCCAAACTTTAAGATAATAAACTCCTGTTTGTTAAAGCCATTCTGTTTGTGATATATTCCTGTCAGCGGCACTAGATAACCAAAACAGATGTTGTTCGATAATTTCCACATTCTGTGGAATCACCTTTCTTTGGAATGGGTCCAAATATGGATCTCTTCCAGTCAGTTGGTCAGGTAGCTGTCTTCCAAGTCTCCTGGCATAGCTGAGTGAGTGCCTCCAGCATGGTATCCGTTTGTTGAAACATCTCAGTGGGTATTCTGTCAATTCCCAGAATCTTGTTCTTTGCCAGTTCCTTCTACGCAGCTTCGACTTCTTCCTTCAATACCATCAGTTTTTGATCATGTGCCACCTCCTGAAATGGATGAACATCAACGAATTCCTTTTGGGCTCTGTATTCCTTCCATCTCCTCTTGATGTTTCCTGCATCATTCAATATTTTGCCCGTAAAAACAAATCAAACTCACTGCTATCACGTCAATTTTGAGTCATAGCGACCCGATTTGGGTTTCCAAGGTAGTAAATCTTTATGGAAGTAGATTGCCCAGTCTTCCTTCAGCGGAGTGGCTGGTGGATTTGAACTGCTAGCCTTTTGGTTAGCAGTCAGATGTCTCAGGTGTTGTGCCACCAGAGCGCCTTGGCTATTCTTTCAATCTTACAACTTGAGGCTTGAGTTTTTTTTCATATCTTTCAGCTTGAGAAATGTGGAGCGTGTTCTTCCCTATTGGTATTTTAATTCCATGTTTTCCCATATTTCATTACAATAATTGACTCTCTCTTCTCAAGCTGCTCTTTGAAATCATCTGTTCAGCCCTTTTATCTTGTTGTTTCCTCCATTTGCTTTAGCAACTCTGCATTCAAGAGCAAGTTTCAGATTCTCTTCTGACGTCCATTTTGGTCCTTTCTTCCTTTCCTGTCTTTCTAATGACCTTTTGCTTTCTTCACGTATGGTGTTCTTGATGTCATCTCACGATTTATCTGGTTGCCGATCATTGGTGTTCTGTGTTTCAAATCTGTTCTTCAGATGGCCTCTAAATTCAGTTGTGATGTAATCAAGGTCATATTTAGGTTTTTGTGACATGTTGTAATTGTCTTCAGCTTTATCGTGAACTTGTATGTGAGTGGTTGATGGTCTGTTCCACAGTCAGCTCCTGGCCTTGTTTTGGCTGAACATATTGAGCTTCCCATCACCTCTTTCCACACATTCAGTCAACATCATTCCTGTTTATTCCATCTGGCGAGGTCTATATGTATATTTGCTGTTTATGTTGTTGAAAGGTATTTGCAAGTAATAAGTCGTTGGTCTTACAGAATTCTATTGTGTGATATCTGGCATCATTTCTATTGATAAGCCCATATTTTCCAGCTACTGGTGATTTTTCTTTGCTTCCAGCTTTCACATTCCAATCACCAATAATAATCAGTGCATCTTGTAATGTGCTGCTGAAGGGAATACAGTAATTAACACATCTTGATTGCATGTTTGGTCAGTTTCAGACTGCAGAAGTTGGTAAAAATCTTCATTTTCCTCATCTTTGGGTTTAGTGGTTGGTGTGTAAATTTGAATAATAGTGGTATTAATTGGTTTTCCTCACAGGGATATGGATATTATCCTATTACTGACAGCATTGTACTTCAGGAGAAATCTTGAAACATTCTTTGTGATGATCAGTGCCACACCATTCTTCTTTAATTTGTCATTCCTGGCATACTAGATCTTATGATTGTAAATGGCTAAAACCAGTCCATTTCAGCTCCCTAATGCCTAGGATATCAGTCTTTATGCATTACATTTCATTTTTTTTAACTTCCAGTTTTGCTAAATTCATACTTAGTACATCCTGTGTTCTTATTGTTAATGGTTGTTTGCAGCTGTTTCATCTTATTTTGAGTTGTGCCCCATCAGCAAATGGAGGTCCCAAAAGCTTTGCTGCATCCATGTCATTAAGGTCAGCTCTACTTTTAGGAGGCAGCTCTTCCCCAGTCGTATTTTGAGTACCTACTGACCTGAGGGGCACCTATTCCCGCACTATATCAGACGATATTTCAGGGTTATTCATAGTTTTCCAGTAATATATCAGATAGTGTTTCACTGCTATTCATAATGTTTTCACTGGCCAATACTTTGAGAAGTGGATGGCCCCTTACTTTTGACTCATTACAAATATGACGTTTTAATATGCTGTATGTATGGCAAATTTATAACTTGCTGCATCATCTCACAAGTTTTTTAAGGATCAATTCAGCATTACTGGAAGTTCCTAAATATGTTTCCTGCTTTCTATGAGCTTTGGAAGAATTAGGTTTCAGTTTATAGAACACTTGCTTGCAGTATTTCTTTTATTTCCTGCACATATATTCAATTCTTCATTATTTTATTTTCACTGAAGAAAAATAAGACAACAGCTATTTGTGACTTTGAGTGAGAGATTAAGCTAACTTACTTTATTGTCTTTAATTTCACTTATAAAATTGATGTTTCTAATGTTTCCTTTGTAATGATTTGCTAATCTAGGATTTATTGGATTAAATGACAGTGACTTTTTTCCTAAGATTGTGTAGTGGTCCAATTCTATGACTTTTCCATTAATTAAAGGCTACAACTTGGTTAGCCAATAGACTGTCACTTTTCTTTTTTATCTCATTTCTTCTCAAGTTTTATGGTTTGATGAAAGACTCAGGTTCGTGATTACAATGTTTTTTGGGATATTTAATGCCCATATGATTAGTTGGGAGCTCTAGTGGCATAGTGCATAAGGCATTTGACTACTAACCAGAAGGCTGGTGCCGTGCTTCAAACCCACCAGCCACTCCTTGGAAGAAAGGTTGGGCAACCTACTTCCGTGGAGATACTGCCTCAGAAACCCAAGGTGGGGTCACTATAAGTTGGGTTTGACCTGACAGCAGTGAGTTTGTTTTTTTTTTTCGTTTAATTTGTGTAAAGAAATTGAAATGAAATTTGCTAATATATTAAAAACAGCTTATGCTTATTTTTTCTAAATTGCATTGTTCTTCATTCCTTAAAGTATCAGGTTTAAATTCATGTATTACATCCTTCTGGATGAATATAAAGTGTATATGCACTTGTGTGTGAATGTGCATATATGTATATATAGCAAATTATAAACTTTATCAAAACATACAGTATTGCTTTGATAAAGCTTAAAATTATACAATGATTAATTATGCAATTATAATGCATATTAGTTAATTTTGTTAACTTATTGTAGTCTCAAGTCATTTTGATCTCTTTTTCTGTAACTAAATATCTTTTTAACTTTTAGGGGGAAAAAAATAGTGGCTTTGATGTTCTGTATCATAATATGAAACATGGACAGATATCGACAAAAGAACTGGCAGATTTTGTAAGAGAAAGGTATGTATTTTTTAATAAGTAGCTTAATTTGTTATTTAAGTTTTAGAATTTAAATAATTGAGAAAAAATTGAGTTGGGTTTGGATTAAATTCAAGCATCCTTTTTAAACATACTCTATAATTGTATTTTTAAGCAGTGCTGTGCACCAGAGGGATATGCTCCGAGTGGCTTAATGTGGCATTGCCAAATGCCTGGCTTGTAAAGCACTATTGGAAAATATTATCTGTATTATTTTCATTGGATGTTCTAGTAAGATGACACAACAGAAAAATTTCAAAAATTTGTAGGATAAAATACTATCTTTTTAAAAAGTTTTTTTTTTTTTTTACTGAAAATGTATATGACAAAACATAGACCAATTCAACAATCACTACATACATAATTCAGTAACATTTGTTACATTCTTTAAGTTGTGCCATCTTGCTTGATATCTTTCCCAAATTATTTCACCACCATTAACATCAGCTCACTGCTCCTTAAGCTTACATTTCTAATTGCAGTTATCAATTTGATCACATATAGATAATTCTTAAAAAGAGCATAATATTCAAGGCAGATACTCTTTTCCAATTAAGCTAAACTATTGTTTATTTTAAGAGTTTGTTTTACATTCAATATTTTGTGTACATTTAGTTTCACTCCCCATTTACCATGCCCAACTCTAACCCAGTCTCCTCCCTTCCCTGCCCAGTAACCCTCCCCCTGTGCCCCTCATATTTATACACTCCTGTTTATCTGCATTTCCTTGACATGAATGTTGCCCCTCTGGTGCCCTGTGGGCTATTGCTCTAAGGGATGTATTTCCATAGAGTATGTGGGTGTGTCACCCTGGGTTGAGTGGTCTGCATGTACATCTTGTTAACTATTGGGCTGAGAGCCAGCCCCTGGGAGTGAGTTTTATTCCAGGCTCAGAATGTATCCCCGGGCCATAGTATTAGGGGTCTCACCAAACTCTATCTGATCAGTAATTCTGGTCATTATTGAGTTTTTGGATTTTGTTCCATGTTTTTCCTCCCACTCTATCCAGGATCTCCAGATTTGATCCGTTCCTTAGTGGTTGGCATTGGTAGCTGGGCACCATCTAGTTCTTTTATTCTTGAGGTCCATCATGTCCTAGGGCTGATTGCTTCCAAATGCCCTTGTTTTTTTTTTTTTTTTTTTGGCACTCTTCTTTGGTTCCGATGCTAGGAGACCATTAGGTGCATCTTAGATGGCCACTTGAAAGCTTTTAAGTCCCCAGTCACTACTCACCAATGTAGGATGGGGAACAAGCCTTTTATGTATTTTATTGTGCCAGTTGAGTCTGGTGTCCTCCAGTACCATGGTCCTGAGACGGTAGGTCCATTAGATCTCTCCCATAGTGTCTGTGATGGATTACTCTGTGTCTGTCTTCCATTGTTTCTGTAAGGATTGTAGGTATTTCGTATCACTGGTATCTTTGCAAGATAAGCCTGCGCTGAATCTGTCATTGGTCTGGAGTATACTCCTCCTGTTCACTGACCCCCATCTGATCCTCTCAGGTGTTTCTGTGTTTATCTGTAGCCTAGTATTTGGTGTTAATGGTAATGCAGCATTGTGGGCACACTGGTTGGTATTAGCATCTGTCGTCTATCTCCTGAATTATGTGCATAATTCAGTGTCCTCCCTTTTCCTAATGCTATCATGATGGTCACAGACTCTTTCCATATATCCCTCCCCTTACCTGTGTCAGCACGTGGGCCCCGCTAGCCTGGAATTAATCCCTCTCCTTCTCTCCCCACCCCGGTATCCTACAAAGTGAGTTCCCTTTCGCAAGCAACCCCTTCTTTGTCCTTTTATAGTAATGGGCTTATACAGTATTTGTCCTTAAACTATTGTTTATTTTAAACTTCTCAGTATAGTTTTAATTTAACTGTTTCAAGACTGAATTATTTTCTAGTTTGAATTTTGTTTTCTCGTTGCAGAAAATGGTTTTTATTTTTTAAAACAAACAAAAGGAAGGAATGGAGGAGTATTTCCTTAGTATTACAAAGGCTATATGATAAAAACTTAACAGCAAATATCATGCTTAACAAAGCATGACGTACTCTTTGTAAGGTTGAGGATAAGACAAGCCTGTCAGCTATACCAATACAGTTTAACATAGTAATGTCTGGCAAACATGATAAGACAAGAACAAAGAAAAAGTAGTGGGAAAGATGGAAGAAGAAAGAAAAAACTGTCATTTTCAAATGATATCATCAATAATACAGAAAACTTAAAATACAGTTGTAGAATTATAAGACAGTTGCCAGATACAAGATCAACTTCCAAAAATCAAAAGCATTCTTCCAACTATGACACAGAAGGACAAAGGACAAATATTGTATGATCCCACTTATATGATATATCTAGATTAGGCAAATATATGGAAACCAAAGTGGTTACCTTGGACAGTTATACTTTGGCTTTTGTGAATTTGCTTTGATTTTCTTCAGCTTCAACTTGAATTTGCACTTGAGAAATTAATGTACTATTCCAAAGTTGGCCCCTTGTTTTGTCTTGATTGATGATATTGAACTTGTCCATCATCTACAGATTTAGTGAATTTGATTCCTATGAAATCCATCCAGTGAGGTCCACGTATATAGCCATGAACTGTGTTGTTGAAAAACAGTATTTCCAGTGAATAAGTATGTTACAGAATACATCCAATAAATATAGTATCTTATAGAATTCTATCATATGATCTCTGGCATTGTTTCTGTCACTAAGGTCATATTTTCCAGCTACCGACCCTTCATCTATTTTCTTTTTTAACTTTTATTGTGATTTGGGTGAAAGTTTACAGAGCAAATTCATTTTCCATACAGCATTTCATACACATTTTATTTTGTGGCATTGATAGCAATTTCCCTCTCTTCCTACTTCCTCTCCGTGGTTACCACTTCCCTGTGTCCTTCCTTCCCATGGACTCATGCCCCCCAAGCTATCACTCTGTGCAAACACTGCCCTTCTTTTCTCCTACTATTGATTGTTCCAAAGAGTCTATCTGTCTGATATAAATGTTCACCCCATGTGCTTGTCTGTTTTTTGGCTGGAAGACAAAGGAGTGAGTTCAGTTCCACACCTGAAGGGTAACTAGGGGCCATAGTCTCAGGAGTCTCACCAGGCTCTATCAGACCTGCAAATCTGGTCTTTTCTATGATGTTGAGTTTTTTTCCTACATTGTTCTCTCACTGTATCTGGGATCTCTTGCACTGATCTTCCTCTGAGTGGTTGACATGTTAGCTGGGCACCATCTATTTCTTCTGGTCTTATGACCATGGTGCCTTCTTAGACTGCATGGTGTACTAGTCCCTTGGACTATTGTTCCCATGCATCTTTGGTTTTCTTCATTCTTCTTTGCTCTAGATGAGGAGAGACCCATCATTGCATCTACATGGCCGCTTGCAAGCTTTTTTTATTTATTTTATTTATTTTTTATTTTTTTTTATTAGGATT